AAGAGTAAAATGGAAAGAAGTAGTGCACACGTCTAAATTAATATACCAACAATTCCCTATCACACAATCAAATTCCTTTGTTCTTGAAATAATTGAAAGAAGCAGGTTTAATAAAGTGAGAAATTAAATAAAACATAGATAGTATAAAAAAGACCATTTTTTATCGTTAAAATGTAATTTAAAAACTAATTTTTTAAAACGAACTGAAATTTAAAAGCCAATCTGAATAAAAAATATTTTGACTAAAAATATGAGCTACAATACCATTTGACATTTTTAACACACTATCAGTAACATTAGTAATTTTTTCGTAATCTGTCCGTATAGCTTCCTCATTAGGTTTCCTCTATGAGATTCTGGTAATGGCTGACACAATGTGAATGAGTTACGCAAAGAAGCATATATTGGGTTCCAACAAGACCATATTCGAGTAATTTTGCACAAAGCAGTGTGCGAGTAATTGAAGTAAAAAGTAGCTTCGACAAACCTATATTCCTTATACGTTAAATCCCCTTTCCCAAAAATACCACGTAGTTCACGATTTCACCTCAATATCATTCTTCGCGCCAATATCCAGCAGAGAGCAAAAATTCAACTTTTCGTTCGTAAACCACGTCGCTGAATAATTTCTCGTAACGGTTCCCGTGACAGACGTGCACAGAGTGCAGCCACGTTTCGATTAAAATTTCGTCGGGAAAAATAACGCGGGCTTTCAACGAAATTTATATTTCAGCATGGCGGAGTAGAAAATTGGCGAGCTTTGGCTCGGGTTGTATCTTTGAATTCGCGACGCGGCCGAGTATCGACCTTACGCGAAATCCCGGCCACCGCGTCGCGTAGGCGGTGGAGAACCGAAAAATAAGGGAGAGAAACCTAGAAACCGGGAGGAAATTGATCCACCGTCGGCGTTCCGCATGACTTCGTGATCGTCCGAAACAACGGGGAACGTCTCTCGTCGCGACTACGCCCGCCTGACGGATTCTCGTATCGCGCACAACCATGTAAAATCGTGCGCTTCTGTCATTTTTCCTGTTGTCAACAGAAAAGGAAAACGCGTTGCGCTCGATTTCACGCGTCCCTGCACGATTAATGTCTCTGTTTATAGAGCTTTCAACGATTGAAGGAAGAAACCCGGTGAGATTTATGGCGAAGAATTTACCACGAATAAGTAAACAGGAAATATTCATACTTAATTCATTGAACTATTTTTTTTTCTTAATTACGACAGTTTATGTTTAATTGAAAATTGTCTGCTTTCTTTTCTCTATTTTGAATTAAATCTGGAATGTACGGCATGGGAATGGAATTACTGACAGCAACAAAATACAGTGTCTTCTCGACGAATGCGACACGAGCAACGTCGTTATTCCCTCCTGAATGTCCCCATGTGGAACCAATCAAAACAGAGTAAACAGAAGTTAAGCAAACGCTTCGTTTCGGGCAAAAAACAAATTTATGTGGAGAAGACGACATTTCATCGAGGAATCACTGTACCTTTCAAAATATAACCTTCATTTCGGGTCATACAAACCTGAGGAGAACAGCAGGATTAAACACTCAATTAAATCAATTTCCTTACAACGTCGTGAACCTAAAACCATTTCTTAATAAATTTGAAACTAGTTAATCGAATTATACATCACAAACTTCTGCACGCCCTTTAAATTTCCCAATTCGTAATTCTTCTGAAATCCTCTTGAATTTCATAATTCTCCTCGAAACTACTTCCCTCGCAGTCTTTTTTCCCCCTAGCTGCCGCACAAAAGTTCACAATAACGAGCCCCGAATGATGAAATCCGAATTAATTAAAAATCCGGCTCGAATCGTTCCCCATTGGACCGCGCGATTCCGACACCGGCGAAGTTCAATAAACCAGTCACTAATTACACGCGGCCGGACGAGTTCGACGATCGTCGGAATTATTTGGTCGGAAGTCGAAGGCAGCGCAGCATAGGGACGCCGGTCCGCGTTTCATCCTTCCGTCCGAGCGACGATCCCATCCAAGTGATTTTTAATCGGTCCACTCCATCCCCCGGATCAACTGTCGCTCGGCCAGAATCGTCAGTGTTTCCGAGGAAATCCTCTCGATCGATTTTCATTTGCTCATCCCTGCCACTCGCGCCACACCTACATATACTCGTAGCTGGATTTCATTCGAGTCGTTGGACCATCTGATTGCGTTCCGTTTCTCGCTGTCCGTACAACGATCGATCATATATCACGGATCCGTTGACTTTTGATTTTATATGTTTGTATGACGATGGTCGTAAGAAGTATGTAAGAAAACAATTAACATGTTAGAAACCAGCGTCGTATACACGTGACGCTCTGATTTCTAAGTCAGCACATTTTCTTAGATAAAAGCAAAATAAACTTTGCAATATTCAACTGCATTTAATGTCAGTCATGGTCTGTTGTTCGGTGTAGTTTCAATTTCTCATCACGAAGATAAGAACTCTGCGCTGAATTTAATGCTGCAAGATATAATGTAGCGTATTAAGAAGAACTGGTGTGGTTTGCTTGTGATAAACTCGCGATTTACTAATGCTCCTTGATAAATTAGCTTGTGGAGGACGGGAAGCCTATATTTAGGCTCTAGAGTGATCCAAAAAAGTATGCAATTCCATTTTAAAAAAGGCATTTACCATAAGTACATTCTTCTATACCAAACTCTAGGTAACCAATGATCGTGTCAACTTTCAGTACATCTTCGATTAATGCTTCAAACTCGGGTCCGCTTTGGAGCAGTTATCGCAGAGGGACACGATTTCTGCAGTTTATGAATTGTCAATTCATTCTTTAGTAGTGGCGTTGACACAAATGCATTTATCATAGAGATCCTTCCGAGCAGTTATCGAGTATTTACTGTACATTATTTTAACATCACCCCTCAGAGAAACTGCGTAATTTGTGAATGATGATAGCTGTTTCTACTCACACGGTATGATCGTTGGGATCGTCGACACTCAGTACAAACTTTCCATTTAACAAAACAATATGTCCAACGAACGTGTCCAGTTACATCACTTCAACATCATCCCTCAGAGAAACGGTGTAACTTGTGAACGATGATAGCCAACCATTATTTCCTCCCGTTTCTACTCACTCGGTATGATCGTCAGGATGCTCGACACCCCGTACAAACGTTCCATTTAACAAAACAATACGACGGTCCCGTAAGTCTTGTCGAATATTAAAAGGAGCCACCGCCGAAGAATACAGATTCTCCGCGGGAACCCAAAAGAACCGTTCCGTATATACCCGATTCCGTGGTGATCTATGAACTGTTCACGTGCGAACCCCTGCCGTGGGAGTTCACCCGAGGACTGTGTGTGTGTGGAGGGGGAGATGCAGGGATCACATTGTTGGCTTTTCAACGGGGTTGGAAAAGTGCGGTTGATACACCGTGGCTAGCTCTTGGACCGCAGAGAGAATGGCCCCCTACCCTTCGACGGTCTCGATACGTGACCGGGGAGCTAACGGGCGTCGTCCGCTTTCAAAAATCGCCGCCTTTTTCCGGCTTTTTTCATCGTTTCTCCTCGGCCGCTTCCGACACTGCTGAAAGCGTGCCCTCCCACCCGTCTCTCGTGTTAATCACCACGTTTGCCAGCCCCCGCGTGACTCGTCCTCCACCTCACGGTCGACGATTTTTTGCCGGATCATCGCTGATTAGAGGCGACCGCTGCTGTACAGACGGCTGGGGGCAGTTTTTATGATATTTTATGGCGCTCCGGCTCCGACACGGACGGCCCGACATTTTTCTTTATAACGCCACGGGATCGTGTTAAGCGTGAAATGTACTTTTCGCGGCGAGCAGATTGCAACGGCTCTACGGGACGACGAGGACGATGCTTGGCCCAGCATCACGCGACGATTCTGTGTCACCTGCTGTGCCACCTGGGCTTTTCTTCCGGAAGTGGAATACCGTGTTTAGTCGTTAGGCGATTCATTCTTGGGCTAAGTATGCTGTTTTAGATTCTATAATCGTACCTACTGTTGTGGAAATGTACAGTGAACCGCCTTAATATTCGGACATGGTACGTGGACATAGAGTGGCTTATGTGTTCGTTCATATATTTTCTACATTACAATTCAGTGTACTTTGTATAGAATTTCGAATTATGTATATTCATGATCCTTATGTTTATCATGCTTTCGTGATCAATTTTTCGTAATTTTGAAAGAAGATTCGTGGTTTGGTACGTAATTTTGGTGAAATAAAGGTAGCCTTTCGTGAATAAATTTGTATGACTGTATATTGTTGCGCATCTATGTGTATTAATTCTGAGTATAAAGGATTCGTTGCTTTTTAATGAGTTAAGATATTTTAGTTGCTAGAAGCGTAACATTTTTTTACGTAATTTATACAGGCTGGACCACGAAATGTGATCAGTTTAGATTATATAGTGGTATTATATTATAACCCGTTGCACTGTTACTGCATAGAGCATCGAAGTTATGTCGGAATTCTCAGATATAGATCTTTTTTTCTAGATTTGAGGAGGTTTTTAATCTTACATCGAGTTGAAACAGACACGTAATAAGTTGTTTAATTTCAAACAAATAATCATTAGAATGCAGGAATAAATATACTCCGAGAAATTCAATGAAAATGAACTGACTTTTTTTATAAACAATGCGCACTGTTAAAGATAGACTGAACAATGGAAAATATCGATCCTGTTTTAAGTCATATTTACTTGGATCGTTGAAAAAGAGATTTTTTTTTATAAAATAAATGGTGTACAATTAATTTATTTCTCTTCTAATAAAATTGAATTAGAATTCTACTTAATATGGAAAGAATCCCGAGGAAACTGTGTCAGACGAGACAAATTGTTTGAATCCATTAATGGATGTATGTTGAAGCGTATTGCGGAAATTAGTAATTCTGTAATGTTTCATGCAGAGTATAGTTGTTGTTCGGTAGTTGTACGCAAAAGATGCTATTATCGGGCATTAAAGCTTTTATTAGATTTAAATTCAAGTTGCATGCTTACCGCTGAGGAGGAATAATCCACAGGCAACGAGAGTTCTATGGTCCGAATAACAATGTCCAATTAATGCCGAGACTGTGGCGGCGAGGACCAAAGCGGCCGCAGCCACTTGAAACGGAGCAGATATCCTGAACAAATCAACGTAACAATAATTAGTTCCATTTGTGTAAAGAAAACAGTAAACGATTTTGTAATATCTATTTAACAACGAAGTTCAATATTTATAGTTCCACGATTCAATGGAAGTTAATTGTTTTTAATTAAGTGCCTTATTCGGTTCAAAGTGACGTAGAAACTGTAATAAGGTTTATTAAAATGTTTATTTCCGTGTGCTCTGCACATTAGCACATATCATAAATACATAAACATTCATTGTGTCACCTTAAGTTGTATTAAACATTGCGTAAATAAATTGGTTTTCATCCTGTACCCTAAAATTTATAAGAAATAATTTCAAAGCTTATAATAACTGGAAAATCTACATTCTACAAAGTGTCGAACTTACGATCGACTCCAGCGAAAAATTATGTCGAAAATGCTGTCACCGTTTATATTTCCGTGTAAACCGTCAGTTCCTCGAACCATTTTACCCGTGTCACTAACGTACGAGATCGCTACAACTTTTCGGTAGAAGGACTCGATATTAATTTCACGCGGTGTAAACTGTTCGACGAAATTTTTGCTCTGATCTGGTCGCCAGTTTGAAACAATTCCTGGATGTAAATAGAACGGCGCACAATGAGCATGGGAACGTTGTGTAAAGCGGGGGAACGACAATGGATCGGCGGATGGATTGGTAAATGTGTGATTGGTCGAGAACGGTTCGTGCTGTTGGAACCGCACTGACGGCCATTGTCAGCCACGTTGACATATTTCACATAGTTTATGTCAGGATGTAAAAACGGATGCAGTTTTCGTCCGATTTATTCAGTACGCGCGATCGTGTGCGAGTAACAAAAAAGTTTTCGGGGGCAATGATGCCTCTGGTGACGAAAAATGTGATATAAAACAGAATGTAAATCTGTCTCCCACTGTATTCGGATAGGAGTTATAACTACGTCGATACGAAACATTGGAATTACAATAATAACAATTTGATTTATTTTGCAGATCATGTTATCGAGCAGAGAGTAGAATTTTATCCTCTGACAATTAATACCACAGGAATCAAGTAACACCAGTAGACAATGTATTATTATTATTACTAAACAAAATCTCTACTTTTTGCTTGCGATGTTATACGTCTATGTAACGTCTATTACTTCATATTACAATATTTCACAAAGAAGCATACAGTGTCTACAAGCTGTGACAGATGACCATTACAAGGATTATATACTTAACTAATTTTTAAATCTAATTTTATATGTTCAAGGAACAATACAGTAACATTAATCGAAACTCATGTATCTTGTTGTACCGTGTAATAATACAGGGTAAACTTGGATCACAAATTACATCCGGAAAGAACGTAAAATCGTAGACGGAAGTTAAGCAAAAAGTAGGTGGAAGTGTGCTCTTTAAAGTGCATTTGGTCTGAACTTGCTAACTCAACTGATTCCTGAGATATAAACCGTGAAAGTCTGTCATTAGGGAACATCCGGCGCGCCGGAATACTCGGAAGTAGCGTGACCCAGTTTCAGAAACTACGGAAGTGATAGTAATAGTAATAGTAAAAAGTCGCTGACTCAGCGGTCCTCATTGACCACTGCGAGACCCATAAGTGGACTTGGTTACTGAATGAGCGCGAGCGAGAAGTCCCATAGTACGAGCGAGACAGACATAGTACATGTACAAAAATTATGTGTATCTTTACACGCCGGTCACTCGGTAACTGGAAGTCGTAACGACATGAGAAACAGATCGTTTTAAAGGGAAGTGTTCCCTGTTTCTAACAACTTCAAGTACGTGAACAAATTATTAATATTCTCGGCATAACAATTGTGTAAAGTTTTTGTAATTTTAATACGTTCTACGGAGGTACAAGGTCTAGTTTGTAATAAATAAATTGTTCTTTAGGATAGTATTAGATGTAGTAATCATAAGAATTGTTATTTTTGTTAATGTAGGTAGTAAAAATAATGAACAGGAAAAGTTAACAATAGAAATAGGGTAAATGTACAGAACAAGGGAACCACCTTCGATTTCAATGACTTTGAAATATGTTCGAAAACTGAAAGAGACCGACAATTATATGTATAGGAAATAGTTGTACAGAATGATGACCTCGACAGTATATTTCAAGGTCATTGAAATCGGAGGTAGCTCCGTTATTCTGAATAATTACCATAAATAGTAACAAAAATAATTTTGACAGTCCTGACAAGGTTGAGTCAACAGATTCAGTTTAATAAACGTGTGACCATAATAAATTATGAGGAATTAATGTAAAATAATATAACGGTAAAACGTGATAAAATAAACCAAATTTGTAGTTTGTGTTACATTAGTGGAATAATGAAGTAAATAATGACCAATCAATTTCTTGCTACAGAAGCTTTAAAAAAATATTCCGTGAGATGTTATTTCACCATTAAATAGCCAGCGTTAATGTTGAATATCCTCAACAATGAGTCCCAAGGGTACCTGCTACAAAGCAATGACAAATTCTATAGTCCATAACAATCATCTTAAACATCTTCCAAAAGTTATTATAATATATTCAGTTCCTTCACTGCAGTAAATGCTTTCAACATTCTTCGGAGTAAGTCTCGAACCCCCGCAATGCTCCTGAAAGCCTGCTACGCGGAGGGAACGGTCATCGGGAGTTAAGTATTACCATGTGAAACCTTTCAGCCGGAACAATTTAACGTGCGATACCCTACAGCGACATGAGCGATCGTCGGCTCGAACGAGACACACGTCATTGAGGGATGAAAATAGATGTTACCACCACCGACACAGCGCTCTGGGACTTCAGAACTTCCCGGAGACGAAGACGGAAGAGGTTCATCAAGATTTGCGGCGCGGCCCCGAATTCACGTAACGCTACGGCACGAATATGTCCCCCTAAATTTTGATTGATCCCCTCGCCGACATCGGAAGCCCTTTCGCATTCCGTTCCCTTCTCGATGGGTAGGGAAGGCGACTCGAATTTATTGCCGTTTTACGTGGCGCGATCACTTGACAGCCGGCTAGCTGATTGCTTGAACCTGCCCTCGAACTTGTGGGAAATTGTTGTACTTCTAGCGGAAAGTGTTCGAATAATTAGCTCGAATAATTCGGTGAAGGTTAGAAAATTTTGTTTTTTATACAAGCAGGAAATGGAGTAGGAAGATTGATTATACAGGGTGTCTAACTTGATCACCTTGAATAATGACTTAACGGGACACTTTATGAAAATTTTGAGTCGTGGTACTTGAATGGCATCAAGGGACACATTGTATAAAGTACGTGCCTTTTTTGTGGGTGGAGGCTTTCTAGAGATTTCAAGGACACTTTGTTTTTTTTTAACGGAATGACCTATTTTTTGTATCATAGTTTGTTCTGACCTTCATACGTCCTAAACCTAATAGTTAACGAGATATTTACAAACAATTTTTAATACATACTTACTATCTGGAAGCTGTAGGTGCTCGAACTTATGCCCCGCAACTTCAATACAGCGATTTCAATACAGTGATTATTTAGTAAATATCACGTTAAGGTTTAAGATGTATGAAGGTCAAAACATTTTTACTCAGAATTATGTGCGTTTACTATTATATTATTTATGTGCTTCTGTTGAGGATAATTCTTCTGTAGAGGGGAGCGTATGCGAGAAGATAGGGCAGAGCATCACGAAATGTAGAACGGAAAAGATGGGTCTTATGAAAGACAGTTACAATTAAGTTTAAAAACTATTGTGTAAGTAAATTAGCCAGTGTAGTTGTATTCTATTTAAGACAGTGTTCGTGTATCAGATTAAGTTTAGTAATATAAAATTAAAATCAATAGTTTCATTATATATAGAAAAGTATGTGGCGTCATAAAGTGTCAGTATCAGAAAGTAAACAGTTTATTGATAAGTAGGAAAAGTAATAGTTAATTTGAGGAGGCTCAAAATCTTGTAATTATAAATTCAAATAAATTCTATTACTATTAAACGGTTATTTCGATAATATTAAAGTAAAATCAGTTATAAGACGACTCTCAGATCACCAACAGAAAAACTTCAATTAATATCTTACTTCCTCATAAATCCTTCACGCGAACTCTGACTAAATTACTGGCTAACCGCAACGTCCAGAGAAACTTCACCATCTCACTGACAAAAGTCGAAGTATCATTACTGATATTCCCAAAGCTGCTGTCGGTGCTTCAACGGGAATCCTATTAGAAACCGTACGCCCCGAGGAGGGTTAAAGATTGAAATCGCATTTGCATTATTAAACGATCAATTCGAGGCTGCTCGAAATCGTAGGCGGTGCACCATTCTGACGCCACTTTTTTTTTGCCACCCCCTGCCAATACCACTCCATTGCCTGTTTATCGAGAGTGAACGAGTGGCTGGAAACGGAATTGGGAACGGCGATAAACGTTTCCCAACTTCGGGCCTTTAATTGCTCCTCTCTCGCACGCCCGATTGCCGTACTTAAATTCCACGCGTGCACCACGTGCTCGCATTATTTCCGTTCAATTTCATAAGACGATGCATTTAATAATCAAGCGGCTCTGTCGCGAGATTCGATTGTTACCCTTGAAACAGTATTCGATGCATTCTAGCATATTTCCTAGTTTGTAATTCGTGCGATGTACTATGTTGCAATATCGTTTACAAATCGTTGATATATCATATCGCAGAAAAGTATCACAAGTCGAAAACATAATATTTCAGGAAATCGAACGAAGTTAATTTATTACGTAGGATTTCGTATATTAAAAGAGGTGACGTTAGTATCATTTTCATTGAACTATTGGACTACAACTTATGACAATTTCCTCGATGATGATATTTGAAGATACCTCACGTAATAAAATGAAAGCTTACAAACTTTGACATCTGACACTACGCCTGTGAGGGTGCGATATAAAGTCTCGTGACACATCTTTATTACCATTTCACCTGCTGATGACTATCTAATGGACTTTTCAGACCGAATGAATACTATCCAAGAACCTATTAATAACTTTGTCAATCACAGTAGCG